CAGCCTGCCGGAGGAGCTCAGGGCCGCAGAGAACGTACATGTTTTTAAGAACAGGCTCAAGACCCACCTTTTAATTAGCTTTTACTTAGCGTTTATTATTTTATGCTTATTTATTCTATCCTGCTATTTTATTATTAATTTAGGCTTTACCTAATATTTATTGATTTATTCTTATCCATTTTTTAATCTTCTTACTCTATTTATATTTATATTGTATCCCTTCTTATTTATTTTATCTTTTTACCCTGTATATAGCCTATTGTGGCATATCTCCAGTGTTTCCTCGGAGGGGGCTCTCTGCACCGGGGCTGTGATCGACCGTGGCTGCTGGGTCGCTGGGGGTCCTCTCAGCCTGGCTGGGGGCCTCCTTTGCCTCCCTCCTGCTGTGTGCCCAGCCTGGAGGCTGCGGTCTGTGACCGGCTCTCGGTGCAGACGGCTCCCTGTTATAGTGTTTCCTCACTGGCTCATGTGAACCCAGCCCAATTTTTACTCTTTAAGTGTGCGCGTGTGTGTGTGTGTGTGTGTGTGGGGGGGGGGGGGGGGGGGGGGGATATGTGTGTATTCACATCATTTATGTTAATGAGAGTGTGGGAGTGAGTTGGAGGGTGGGGTGGGCTGCTTTAACTATGTAAAGCACTTTGTGCTACATTTTTTGTATGAAAAGTGCTTTATAAAGATTGATTGATTGATTGATTGATTGATTGATTGATTGATTGATTGATTGATTGATTGATTGATTGAACGAACATAGGACACATTAATCTCATGTTCACCTCAAAGAAAAACATCAGTAAACACAGTAAACTGCAATCCCTTAAACTGCATTTCTTAAATATAAAGGAACAGCTACCATGTACTCACAGTTTAAACTGTTTTTAAATTAGTTTCAGTTTCTCGGTTCCTTTCTTCTTAAATTTACAGGTTCTCAACAGTCACTTTATTATGTATACCAGTTCACCTGGGCAAAAATCCCTTATTGATGTCTGAGGTTAGAGGAGAATGGACAGAAAGGAAGCTGATAGGAAGGCAAGGTTAACTCAAATAACCACTCAGAAGAACATCTGCTAAAAAGCATCTCTCAACGCACAACACGATGGGCTACAGCAGCAGAAAAGCACATTGGGGGCTCCTGTCAGGAAATTGAAGCTATCATTTGCAAGCTAATTGGACAACAGGTGACTGGAAAAACTGCTTTCCTGGTCTGGTGCTGATGACCTTGGTCATGATTTCTGCTGCAACACTTAAATGGCAGTGTCAGAATTGGCATTAAAAAAAGCATGTTGCCAGGTATCATTGGTTCAGGGTAGTGTTGGTGTATGAGAGCGTTCTTTTACATTTACTGCACTCAGCCTTTGGTTTAAGGAAAGAATTGTGTTTAATAGGAACGAAGTGGTGCGATCTCTCAGGCCCACTACTTTACCTGATGTGCGTATATTGTGTCATATACCAGCGTCCACATCACTCCTGAGAAGTATAGCGGGAGACACACGGACCAATCACAAGAGCCTTTAATAGCGGACCAGCCGAGCAGAGCGCCCCAGTTGAAAGTGAGTCCTAAAGTGAGAGAAGAGAACAAGAGAACAGCTATAGCTCTGATAGTCTGTAAAATATTAACTCTAGACAAAGAACACTACAAGATAACTTTACACAGCACATACCCAACACAAACTGTGGCCAGTAAGTGAACCTCTTCATCAGTGGGTAGGTGATAACAAGAGATAAAGAAGCAGCACCCAGAGCTATACTGTGAGAGCATTTTGAACAATGTGAGGGAAAGACTGCAAAATAACTGGATAAATAATCACTTTTAGTTACACTATGAAAATTAACACACTGTAGTAATATTGTGATCCAGTTCAACTGTTGCACTAATTTTTTTTTCTCATGACTCGGAGGATTTAATCTAACCTATATACCTGTTCCTATTCTTCTATTATATTTTCTTAATAAAATGTCATTAACGTTCATACATAAAATTGATTCTGAGTACCTGTAATAGTTGAGACACAAAAGAACCCCAAGTGCAAGCGAGAGCTGCCCTCCCAGGAAGACCAGCGCCTGCATTCGAGAAATCTCTCCTGATGCGATTGGTCGAGAGGCTGTGTGGGACACCTGCGCAAAAACACAAACACTTTCAATTTATCAGAGCTGAAAAATAAACACTTTGAGCAGGGGAGTGACAGTGACACAGGTAAGACTAACGTCTGCTTAGAAATGGAAGTTTAATTTACTTTATTGCAAAAACATGTCCTGTTCATTGTTTGGAGTCAGCTGTAAGAAAATCTCATTTACTTTTTTGTCGAAGTCTTTGTCCCACATGTCATTGATGGTGCAGCCGGCCCCTCTCATGAGAAGAGCACCTGTACCAAACAGTGTGAGCATGCCCAGATCTGGGAAGCATCCAGGGTTAGCAGCCAGAGCAATGCTCCATGTACAGGGGAGGTACAGCAGCCATGTCCCTATGATTAAAAGGCAATGAATTTCAAGGGAATTAAACAAGGAAGTAAGATAAGAACAGAAACAAAGCCCACAAAGAGATGAATGTGCAGCCAATAGCTACATTAATCTGGTGGCATTTTAAATGTGGTTTGGTTTAGATGCATCTGTGCAGTGACACTGAAAAATGCAGGGGCAAGATATTTTAGACTCATTGTCTTACACAGTAATTACATAAGAGTTTTACAGTTTGGTAGGATTCTTTCAAAGAACAATTTTAACAATTATTATCTACATCATGAGTTAGGGCTACATGCTTACAAAGATGCTTCCCTGTTAGTGCCAGTTAATAGCTCTACAAGGTCAAAGATGACGTGCTTATTTTAGCCATTTGTTTTCTGAAGACTGTATTAATGTTATATAGCTTCTTGTTTTGTTCTGTTTTGTTAACATGGTGAAAATGCTGCTAAAAATCATTCTGGGCTTAAAGAGTGCATGTTTGGAATAAAGTCAAAATTCTGCAATATTCTAGATATCAATATTTTTCTTTTAAACTGACACAGATAAAAATCATTGCATAGCAGAAAATGAATGTGTAGACATGGTCATAATGACCTGCTGAAGTTAAACCTGAGTACATGAGCTTGCTTTGTCACAGTAGGAAGGAAAAACTCCCTTTTAACAGGGAGGGACGGCTATCTGTCGCGACTGGTTGGGGTGAGCGAATGAAGACACGACAACCCAACAATGTGATGTTCATATAAGTACAAACCTATAGGTTTGTCCAGCCTCATCAGCCGGAGGTACGGTTGGACGTGTACTGGTGCTGAATTTACTATAGTAGCAGCTGATAAACTGAACCGTCTTCTCCCGTTTTGCTGTGTTTCAAGAAGTCTTATTGATGACCAGATTGCAGATTGGTTCTTAGGCTTTCTCTTCCACACACGGGAGTCTGAGGGGGGCCCATCTCCAGCCTGTATCCCTTCCTTCTGGATGAAGCAGGTAGAAAGTGTTATGGTTCAAAATATTGGGGATGGAGACAAGAGAAAAACCACAATAACAACACTGGTCCGGCCGGGTCAAGTCAAACGATGATTTTAATGATCACACACGTGGGAGATGGACACTGATGCAGACAGCCTCAGATCTCAAAATGGTGGAGCATTGCTCAAACTCTTATAGCCTCTGGTTCTCCCACCTTATCATAAAAGCCTAAACATTCACATGCTTTTCTCTCACACGGCGCCTAAGCTACGACCTTGGCTCCCCGTTATCTGCTCCTGCTGAGTTGGGGCAGAAAACTCCAGTATATTCTGTTCTCTTCTAATCAGACAAATAAGGCGATGACTTTCTGCAAACAGTATTTCTTATAACATCATAAAACAATATCATTCATCCACAATAAATCAGCAGTCTAATGTAATGCAAATCAGTTTAACGAATGCAATAGTTATCAGCTTCTTCTAATTCAGGAGAATAATGCAAACTAAAACTACATAATAATTCACAATCTTTAGTTAGGGGTATAACATGGCATAAAATAATATTATAATCTAACAATTGACATCGATAACAAGCTCCATGGTGGATCCTTTTCAGAGTGCTCAAAGCTAGCTTGGCTGGGAACATGGTGTCTCTCTGCACACACAGAAGCAGAAAGACACATGCAAACGAAGGTTAAACAAATACATTTGGTACAACAGAAACAGAGATGTGTGAAACTTTTGGCTGAAACAACCTGACTGTTTTAGCTGTTTAGGTAAGACACTGCACACACCTACATGAGACAAGCTGGTGTTACAGTAACGAGGCTAAGCTATCACTGAAAATATAATTCAATTCAATTCAATTTTATTTATATAGCGCCAAATCACAACATAAGTCGCCTCAAGGCGCTTCATAGATACAGAGAAAAACCCAACAATCATATGACCCCCTATGAGCAAGCACTTTGGCAACAGTGGGAAGGAAAAACTCCCTTTTAACAGGAAGAAACCTCCGGCAGAACCAGGCTCAGGGAGGGGCGGCCATCTGCTGCGACCGGTTGGGGTGAGAGAAGGAAGACAGGATAAAAGACATGCTGTGGAAGAGAGACAGAGGTTAATAACAGATATGATTCAATGCAGAGAGGTCTGTTAATACATAGTGAGTGAGAAAGGTGACTGGAAAGGAAAAACTCAATGCATCGTGGGAATCCCCCGGCAGCCTATGTCTATTGCAGCATAACTAAGGGAGGATTCAGGGTCACCTGATCCAGCCCTAACTATATGCTTTAGCAAAAAGGAAAGTTTTAAGCCTAATCTTAAAAGTAGAGATAGTGTCTGTCTCCTGAATCCAAACTGGAAGCTGGTTCCACAGAAGAGGGGCCTGAAAACTGAAGGCTCTCCCTCCCATTCTACTTTTAAATACTCTAGGAACAACAAGTAGGCCTGCAGAGCGAGAGCGAAGTGCTCTAATAGGGTGATATGGTACTACAAGGTCATTAAGATAAGATGGGGCCTGATTATTTAAGACCTTGTATGTGAGGAGCAGGATTTTGAATTCAATTCTGGACTTAACAGGAAGCCAATGAAGGGAAGCCAAAACAGGAGAAATATGCTCTGAATGCTACCAACACACTTGCTAACTCTAGTGTGATATAACGCCAAAGCAAGCTTACAATGAAGGTTACAATAGAGAATATACCAAACACTGGACAGATGTCAACCACATCAATACTTCCCTGCTGGGTCGTCATTGGTCGTCTCTTCTTTGAGGCTGACAGACAAGTTGGAGGACCAGCGCCTCCAACTGGTGTGGAGTGTGCATCACAATTTCCTTACTGGTTAAATAAAAACCAGGTCTCACACTAACTAGTTTTTATTTTTTATTATGGCAGCTCCATATTCAGCATTCTTTATCCAGTATATCCACTTTGCCTCCTCTGCACATGTACAAACAATCAGTAAGTTGGTTTTATTCGTTTTTGTGGTTTCTTTTGCAATCCTCAATGGGAAATAGCTACAGAGGTCACTTTCTGTCAACCATATGTATGCAATAATATAAATAATATTCAGCTTAATGGAAGCTTTTATATGCCAATAGTTTTTTTAATAGCAGTGTTTTGTTAGTTTATCTAACACTGCTTCACCTAAGGCGTTCTTAACAATTGCCTGTTTCTTTCTTTTTTTGCACTTTTTAAGGAAAAGCACCCATGCTTTTTTGGTTAAAACCATATGTTTGAAAACCTCTTTGAACAAGCCCTGTAAGTCTACTTCACTTATTTTGTTCTTGTTAACATACAAAACAACCATGGAGTAGTAACTGATCGGATCCTAGAAATTTATTTCTGTTCATCTGGACCCAGCGTTTAGTAGAAACATTTTATCACTTATCTATGTGACTTCTTCAGTTTCAGCCGACTGCAGGCTTCACCAACTTTACAAACAATACGGCTGCATAATGACTAAAATAACACCAATAAGCCAGAAGCTTAGTTTCAATAAAAAAAAAATTCAAAGTGAGTAATAAGCTAAATAAGTCCTAAACAGATTCTTAAATTTACTTGTCAAGACAGGGTAGGGCTGTGGAATATGCAACATTATTGCATATGCAAAAAACATGTGACAAATGTAAGCAGCATTACAACTGAAACCTCACTGCTCTTGCTGAACAGTGCTGCACAGGGCCCTGTTCCAAAGGGCTTCGGAGTTGACGTAAAGCGGCGATGTATGTCGGCAACCTTCCGATTACAAGGCGAACTCCCAACTCTTGAGCCACGATCGCCCCAAAGACTACAATGAGAATAGAAACAGAGCAGTGTGGCTGGTTAAGTGGTGCAGTTGATAATGAAAAACATGCTTTCATTTTGTACTTTTTAGTATGAGTACTATTCATTGTGAGATGAGGAATGGCTGCATTCACTGCATTATAAGATCGTGAAAGATAAACTCTTAAGCCCCTTCTCGTTTGAGAGATGGTCGTTCCTTTTTACACAAACGGCCTCCTGCTTAAAGCAGGATATCTGCCTCGAAAGGATTTGCGCATCATGAACATATAAAGAGTGAATTTGAAACATATTGAGCAAAAACTGCTGTGAAGATGTGATATGTGACACAAATCTAGATCCTTTAATTTTCCCTAGAATGTTTTAGCTTTCATCTTGTTGTAAAAGCCAGACCCTCTGCAAAAGTCTGCAACATCAGTATAAAATTTCTCTGGGATACCAAGGTGATATTGGTAAAACAAAGCTTTTCTTGCTTTCTTTGTGACCTGTGCAGCTCAGCAAGCATCGTCACTGCAAGCACGTGGCCAACTGCCTGCGATAGAAACCGAGCCTGAAAAAAGGATTTCTGTTATAAGTTTTTAATAACAATAGCGCCCATTTATTTAAATATGCGGTGCTATATAACACTTACAGTATGGAGGATTTGTTAATACCTTTCATTGGACATTATAATACCTATATCGCCGGCCATAAAAACAGAAAACAACACCATCACAAAAACAGAAAAGACTTTTAAAAGGGGGGCTTGGCGTTAAGGTATGAAATCTACGCACTTCCGGTTACTGTTTCCCCAGATTTCACAATGAACTAAGCGTGGAAGTAAAAAAAACAACAACAAAAAACTCCATACGTTTTCGTGAATATTAACAAACACATATTTTTTTTTATCAAATTGATAAAATTTTAAAAAAATACAATTAAGAAATCCTAGTTCGTATTAAACCAAAATATCCTGTCGTTATATCGAATCTCGTGTAACTGCTGGTAAATAACATTATAACTGATATTTTAATTACTTACACAGCGGAGGTAGTTTTCAGGTAGTTTTATTTTGAAGGGTTGGTGAATTCTACGGAAGTGAAGATGTTTTGTTGCGGTGGGGGAAGCACAGGCCAGGGAGAGTCACACACGCTTGAAAAATGGCGGAAACGTGCTCCGTGTTCATGCGACCTCCAGCAGCGGTTCAAAACGGTGCCTCCTAAGCCTTGTCCTGTTTTTGTGTGCATGCGTGAGTAAAAACCTTGCGTGCATCGCGCACTTTAGCGAGTTGCACATCTCGGCATTTTGTTAAAATAGGTAGGATCTGTTTATTCGGTTGACTCGTTTAACGTCTCCTTCCTGTTGAATATGCTACACTGAAAGTTAAATAGAGGTGTTGAGTTCTTTGTGCTGCCATATTTAAAGATAATATTAGCAAAGCGTACAATCTCGCTCTCTCGCTCTCTTTAAGTATTCACTTGTGTGTATAACTTAATAACGGATAACGAAGTAGCGTCGGATTATGTTGTGCTGCTTCTGTGCCTTGAGAAAAATAATAATCTGTTTTTTCAGTTGTCTAGGTGTGTCACTTAATGTGTAAGGCTGTGGGTTAAAAGAGGCATGCAAGATGGAAAACGGTATGTATCACAGAGGTATGCAACGTCTTTGTGAATAGATACTGACCTATGCTGATCTATACTGGTCTGTTGCCTGCCCCCTCAGATACAGTGGAGTGCTCCACCTCTGGCCACATCAAGCAAGTCATCAGCCAAGCAGTCACTGAAGAATCCCAAGTCGAGGCTTTCCATTGTAGTCACTGTGTGCTGATCTTCGAATCCAAGGTGTACCTTTTTGAACACCTTTACAAGGTGCATGGCCTCAATACAGAAATTTCTCTCAGAGAGGCTGGTTTATCCCCTGGGACTGACAAAGCCAACACAGAGAGCAGCAGTTCAGGAGATAATTTTAAATGCCAGAGGTGTGATTTTAAAGCTTGTAGTTGGGATGGTTTAAGTGAACACGAGGAACTGTGTCACAAAACTTCAGAAAATCCTAACGTGTCAGGAGGTGTCATCATTTCAGAAAACCTCGACAGCACTTTAAGTGTCATTTCAGCAAACCAGAACAATGAAGCTGCAGGAACATCGGAAGATCCATCAGTTCTTTCAGATATTTCTACCTCAGAAGCAAACTGCACATTAAAGGACCTGAAAGTTTTGCAGGAATCTCCTTCAAGCTCCTGTCCAAACAGTAGTGGTGTGTTTAAAGTCACAGCAAAGTCTGTGATAGATATCACCGGAAGTAAGTCGTACCCTTTTTTGCACACTGACTTGACTACTGATTTGACTAAAACTCCGGAACAATTCAGAAAGGAAACTGTTCCTGACAGTGCTGTGAAGAGATCCAGTGGTAAAAGTTTAAAAGGTCATCCTGTCAAAAAAGCCAAGTTGGATAACGAAGAGATGCTCACGGAAAAAGAAAATAGACAACAGTCATCCAGCAGCGAAGTCAGCGAAGATGAAGACGAGGCAGACGCGGCAAAAGTGTATTCTTGTAAACATTGTGACTACAGTGACGTGGGCATCAGGCGAATTTCTGCCCATTATCAAAGTGACCACCCTTATATCAGATACAATTCTGTCTACATTCAGGACGCAAGTGATCACAGTGCCACCTTTCGTTGCTTGGAGTGTCCAGTTGAGTTTTTAAGCACAGCTGACCTCAAGAGGCACTACTTGGAAAATCATCCAGATGCCCCAGATGTATTTGCCATGAAATCATGTGGCCTCAGTTTGGTTTTCAAATGCTTTCTTTGTAAATTTACTATCAATCTATTGAAGTCTTTGAAAGAACATTACAAGGCAAAGCATGCAACATATGAAGTGGAGAATTCCTTATTGTTCTGCAGATATTCAATGTCTGAATGCCAAGAGGAATCGTCTCAGCTGAGTCTAGATGTTCACTACCAAAAAAGCCACCCAGATGAAGTAATCACATTAGATAAAATCAAACAGTCCGCTTGTCCCACATCACATGCAGCATCAGAGATGACATCTGAGAAGTGTTCAGATTCTGTGATTGTAGTAGATCATTCAGAGACCACACCAGAAGCCTGTAAGAATCGTTCAGAATCTTCCCAAACCACGAAAGGGGAATCTTCGAAGTTTCCAACAAAATCCAGTAATGAAATTACTACTGGACTGGACATTTCCTCATCCAGTTTACCAAATGAAACATTTTACTGCCAGTTCTGCAGTTACACAAGTACCGAGGTTAAGCGTATCCTTGGTCATCACTATGCAAAACATTCTATGGATGCACCAATAGGTACTGATGATGTCCTAGGGTACAGTGCTGAGATGCAGAAACGTCAGAGTGAATCTAAGATGTCAAAAAGTCCTTCATCTTCCCAATTTAATACTAGTAAACAAGTGAAGATGTGTAGGGAAAAAGAAGATCTGTATAAGGAGGATTACACAGCAGATGCCTCAGAAACAGGAGAGAGACAGAACAAGTCCTACGCATGTCCAGAAAACTTGTTTTACTGCCACAAATGCAACTTTGGAAATCCATCTGTAAAAGGAGTAATTATCCATCAGGCTAAGGTTCATCGAAAGTGTAATTCCAGCACTAAGTGTGTTCTTGAATATACAGCTTTAATCCATGATGAAATCAGGAAAGCAAATGCAAAGGATTCCTCTTCTTCCCGTCTACCTCCTCCTATAATAAATGAAGGTGAAGAAAAAGCATTTTTTTGCCACTTTTGTAACTACAGGCATAGTACTTTGGATCGGGTAATGCACCATTACAGCAGAATACATCATGGATTTAAGGCGAAGACTTCAGAAGTCCTTCTGCATACATCTAAGATCCACGATCAGGCACAGAAATCTCCTCTAACATCCACTCAAAATGAAGAAGCTGCTCAGGAAATCCTCAAGCTGAAAATGAAAAAGAAAAAAACAAGGAAGCATTCAAAGTCTTTGGTCATTTCAGCAACACCCTCAGTGACAATCCCACACAGAAAGAGGTCCCTGAACTGTTACGCATGCGCATACAAAACTGACGTGATATATGCTCTGAAGACGCATTTAAGGAAAATTCACAAAGTAAAGCGTACAGTCACAGATATTTTAAGATATTATTTTAGACAAGGATCATTAGAGCCCGGCTATTATTGTGAATTCTGTGTTTTCAGACATGAAAAAGCTGCAGCAGTTTATGAGCACTACGAGGAACGCCATCTAGGACGTGTCCCCTGCGTTGAGTATGTAAATTTTCAGTTATATGCCGGTCCTGGAATGGTCCATTGTAAAAAGAAGAAGCCTGATCTAGAGCAGAGTGGAGGCAATGGCACTGAAAACAGATTGCTATCCCAAAGATCCGGACAAAATAAAGCTGGTTTGTCTTGCAAAAGATGCTCTTTTAAATCTAACTCTTTGTCAGATCTGGCACACCATTACCGAATGGTTCATCCTTTGAGTGCAGAACTTTCCAAGAAAACAAGCGCAAGCTGGCGGGTGGAAGACCAAAGTGACAGACCTGGCTCATTGTCCTCCAAAGTGTTCAAGTGCCTTTACTGCTCTGCAAATTTTAATAGCAAACAGGGTCTCCACATTCACTGTGGATTGAAACACCCGGAAGCTGTAATTGAAAGATATGAACAAGAACAAAAACCAGAACAGCAGCTCCAAAAACGTCTGCATAAGACATTGAAGTCTAGCATAACAGCAGAAAAAAGCCTCTTGATCTACAAGTGTCCAAAGTGTCCATATGTGAATGTTAGCTCCCAAGGGACCCTCACTCACTGTCAAATGAAGCATCCAGCAATTGTAGTCTGGGCAGATGAACTTGAGACAGGTGAAGTCTTTGCATCAAACATGGTCAATTGTACTTTAGGAAGACGTTCTAATGAAAGAGGGTACTTGTGTAAAAAATGTTCACAAATCCATGGATCACTGACAAAACTCAATGCTCACTGTAAGATGGTTCATCATGACAGAAAAGTGTATGAGCACACTGACACTGAAAGCCAGCCGGTTCACACATCTCGGGGCTCAGCACGGAAGGATGCCTCTGTGAAAAACAAAACTTCGAGAAGAGTAAAAATTGCGAAAAGTAGACAGGCTCCACAAACGGAAACTCCTGAGGCATCCCCGTCAACTTTGCTGTCCGGCCTCCGCAGCAGCAAACAGTTGTACAAGTGCCAGATGTGCACCTATAAAGGACGATATCAATACCTCCAGCGCCACTACAAAAATACTCACAAATTGGATGCAGTCAGTATTTACAAACTTCTTGAGAAATATAATAAGCGTAAATGGAACTCTCCCAGCAAAATACTTAAATCAGGCAACAGCACAAAGGTTAAATGTTTGAAATGTCCAGAATTAACATTCAAGTCGTCGCAGCTGCTCATTGACCACTATAGTACTTTTCACCGCTCAGAGTGGAAATTGGACTTTACTGTGTTGTCACTAGGATTGAGGAAAAAGAAAAACACAGGGGTTTACAAATGTGACCACTGCAACACACAATTAAATGGGATTAGAAAGTTGTGTTATCACATGGATCGCCACAGAGCAAGGATGCTAAAGAAGGCCAAGGCTGCGCAGAGAAAGGAGTCGCTTATTAGCACAACACTAGAGCAAGAATCCAGCGAGGTAAGTTGACGCTGTAATTCCTGTCTACGCTCTTCGTCTTCTGATCTACTCGTGTTATTTGACCA